CATCATTGTTTTTTCTAAGCTATCTAAAACTCATAAGAATGTAGATTAAAAGTATGCATGGTCTGTCAAAAAATATAAATTCCAATTATTTTTGTTTTTTAAGAGAGTGGGAGGTATTTCTTTCTCAATTTGCACTCTGAGGTCATCTTTTTTTTTTCTTTTTTGAAAATATGCACAGAGGACAAATTTCTCCCTTCTTGCCAAACAAGCACAACTAAATCCCTTTAAATATCTCATTCCATCTTCCTGCTCCAATGAATGGCACGGTGCCATGTTATCACTTCAACAACAGTATGGAAACAGTTTCAGAAAGCTGGCAGGTTTTGAGGTGAATTTCTCTCAAAACACTGAGGAGTTACGTGATTGTCCTTGGCTGAGTCTCTGCAACATGAGGCCTCGTAATCCAAATGATGTAATCATGCACAGAAACCTGTTGAATAAACACTCAGTTCTCAGAGCGTCTCACTTAAAGCCCGACTTTAACTTTGCTTTAGGCAGAAATGAGTGGGTGATGATGGACATTAGCCTATTCTTGAATCTGCATGGGATTTTAAGTATTTAACCCCAAATATATTGGTAACATCTTGAGTTATTTTATCAGCCTAAACTACTCATCTGTGTTACTACATGTGAAACCATCAAAATCTGTCACATTTAAATGTTTCATGAGTTTTACATGTTTACAATGAAACTATGGCGCAAAAAATAGGTGACTTGTAGTGGGAATAAACAGAAGAGAACAAATCAAGGCTCCTCCCAGGAGTGAATAATCACTTCCTCCCTCGAGTCAGAGCTCTGTTAAGATTTCTGCAAACAGTTCTACTTAGACTTGAGTAAGATTGAGCAACGGGGAACATGCCTGGCCATGAGACTGCCTTCAGAAGCCAAAACCGCTCGTCTTACACAAGCTCCTCAGAGATGATATTAAGTGGTGAAGTCATCACAGTTTCTTGAAACACCACCCGAGCTCTGGGAGAATATGCAACTTCAGTCCAGTCTGGGATTTCCTGTCTGGCACATCTTATCGCCAAACTTTGTCTCGACTTTGCGCCTGCAAACCATTTACTGCAAGCTGAAAACGCCACATTAGAGGAGCATAAGTTAACAGTCAAGATGTTCATAAATTCCCAGACCGAGTCTTGTGGTTGCGCTGCCCTTTTCACTGTGGTCTTATCACACATGTTGGGTGATCCAATTGCAAATGGATACTCAGTGTTTTCACACATGGTGCATAAATGCATCCGGGCCTCTTTTAATCAGTCACTCTACAAGCCTGTTCAGTCTTTGCATTGACATAAATCCTGGATGATTCTAGTACAAGTAGACAGATTTAAGCTCATCTGGTCAGACCATAACGACCAGATCGAGTTATTGTACATGCAAAAATAAAATTTGTAGAAAGATCTTTAAAAATCACAAATATAATGAGCCAGTAAGGGGAAGATTTATCTATTCACCGAAGTAGTTATTTTTGAAGATACTTAGGCCACAACACTTAAAAAAGAGGAGCAAAACAGATTTGAGACTGATTATAAAGGATTATCAAGGAACAATTACAATAGAGTAACTAGATCGGGTGTAGTCAACTCCAAAACTAAAACAAGCACTGCCCTGTAATCCTCAGATTAAGATAATCCTAGAAAATACATTGATTTTTTTGGTTTGTTTTTTATTGTGAAGGAGTCAAACAAGGACTTTCATAATAGCAAGACAATCTCACTGTTAAGACAATTCCAACAAAGAGCATCTTTGGAACACTAGGTACTGCAAACTCCCTCCATTTGTTGTACAGTATTCATGGCTATTTTATTATTCATCTATTTGCAGATGGGGATGGGGCATTGCTATTTAATACAGCCAATCCAGGAGCACCATTCCTTTTCCTTCGTGCAGATTGGCTGTATCCTAAGAGAGAAAATAAGGAAGACTGTGGGTGTTAGCTTCTGTGGTACTACAAAGATGGTTTCCAAAGTTTATACATTACTGCATGTTAAGGTATATTTGGTGTTTGACCTATGAAAACAAGCAGTAATAAATGTTTAGTATTGGGACTAAGGTTTTTATTAGAAATGCAAGTATTAAGTAGTATCTACTACTTAATATTAAGAGGAATTTTGACATTTTTACCACAAATTTTTGACTTTATAATCTTAGATAAATTCAGAGTTTTTGTCTAATTGAAGTATTTTTTCCCCTTCACAGATCTTTGGCTTAATGCAAATTTTTCCTTGCAAATCTACAACATTTCACAAATTTATTCACCTGATTTAACAAGTATCACAACCGCATACTTTTGACTTGAAAATGGAATGAGAAAAAAACTTTTGAACAAACTAGCGCCCTTTTTTAATAAATACAAAATAAAATTCACAGCTGTTTACATTATATTAGGAAAATATTCTATTTTTTCTTGCAAATATGTGAAATTAATTTAGAAATATATTTGTTCTGACAAATTTATTCCTCCAAGTCCATGATTTTTTTGTCTTGTATCTATAAAGGCCTTTATGCTCTGATGTACTTATGAACTGTCCAATTACAAAGAAATCCATGTCAAACACTGAAAATGACCTCAGCTGACCCACTGCATCCTTGGGTGATCTCAATCAAGGCATGGATTCAGACTGGATGTTTGTTCATGATCAAATGAATCATTGGAGACTGCAGCATAAGCAAGTGCCATTAGATTTTGCTTGATTGATTCCTTCAGAGAACTTCTGAGACGATTATAATTTTGCTATAGAAGTTGAATCCCATCTCTGCTTCCACAGAGGAAACTTTAGCATCAGTCCACACACTGCAATGAAGTCCACAGTGTACTATCAGCAGACAGTGAAATCTATTGGGATCAGTGTCTGACATGGAGTTGATGCAAAAGAACTTTCCCACATAAAGAAAGGCTTTATGCAGCCAAAAACAATAATTATTGCTGGCTAAACAAACTGATTACTTCAAAGTTGACAGAGGATTTCTATCTGATGGCCTGAATGTAAAATTGATAAAATTGTAGCAAATTACATGAAGAGGTGGTGCTTCTCAGAACTGATAGAAAGCTATGCAATTTGTTCGCCATTTAGAAAATAGAAGTTACTGAACACAGGAAAATACTCGGGAAATCAAAACTCATGAATAAGCAAATCTATTTTAAGATGTACTGAAACAGAAAACATCGTTTTAGCATATGCTTCTGCTTTGCTATTGGCAGCTAACAACTGATGTCACTCAGATGCAGTCAGATTTTCCTCAATAACTTCACGCTCCAACTCCTAGTGAGAAAACCAGAACACTATGGGACGCTTTTTGTCTTTAATTGTGCAATCACTCACCAACAGTAGTTTCGACATCTACAAAGAGCAGAGATGAACAGTGTCCTCAACGCTGCCTTTAATGCGGTAACTGTTAGTTTTAGATCATCCTGACACTAACTAACTCCAATTATATTGCCTTGCAAAAGTACTCATACGCCTTGAACTTTTTCCACATTCACAGCATCAAGAAGACTAAAGAGCACACCAGTCAGCTCAAAAATATTACTGTGGAAGTTTGAAAACATGTGGAAGAAGTTGATTTAATCAGTTGAGAAAACAAAATAAAATCTATTGGCCTCTATGGATGTTTGATGGAAAGCTAACAGTGCATAGCACCCCAAAAATAACGTTCCTCCCAGTGAAACATTTTGGGGTGGCAGCATTATGGTGTGGGAATATTTTATCCTTGACTGGAACGAGAAACCTTATCAGCATTAAATGGTGCTGAACACAGGACAATCTTAGGTCACAAAATACTTGAGACTAGGGCAAAGATTCACCTTCCAGCACGACAACGCAGAGCTACAGTGTAATGTTTCAGATTGCAGTATGTTTAAGGGTTAGAATGCCCCAGTCAAACTCCAGACATATATCAAATTAAAAAATTGTGGTAATTTTTGAAATCTTATGTTCAGAATTGCTTTTAATCCAATCTTTCTGACTTTGAGCTATATTGTAAAACAGGGGTGTTCAACTTTTAGACGTTTCCATGATTGAAATGGCCAAACTATCTCCTCAGTTTGCAGTCAAGTTCTACAGATTTGTACTAATGACCTAATAATATGACTTGGCTGAGATGAAGTACAGACACATCTAAAGGTTGCTGGACATCAGCCTTCGTACCTCACAAGACTTCATTACTTTGCATTATCTTTTAAACAGTATAAGAATAAAACCCATTGACATTTTTGGCTGTGAAGTGACATGTAAGTGGAATGTATTCTATTTCCTCTTTTGTTGTTAATGTCGTGCTCAAGCTTGGTTATCATATTGGAAAATGTAAACTTTGCGAAGTACCAATAAAACCCTCAATTATAACCACATCTACTGATAGAAAGGAACTGCTTGATAACACCAGTGGACCACTAATGTCAGACTCCGGTTGGACTCCTTTTCAAATATGCACACTTCTCTCTATATCTAGATTACATCACCAGGCCGAGCAGATGTGGATGCCAGAAATGAACCAATGCCAACCGAAGTTTACAGTTGTTATCTGACAGACACTGCCCTGAAGCTGACTAAGGTCACCCTTTATCAATCAAACACACTCACAGGGTTAATAAAAGCCCCACAATAACCACGTGCATCGCACCGTGCAATAAGTAATCCAGTAACAAGGTCTGTATGAACATGTGAGCGCATACAGGTCCAGCTGTCACAACAAGAGCACTCTTCAAAAAAAAAAAAAAAAACTTTCAGGAAAAGCATTGATAAGATGATCACATGATCTACTTAGTGCCTTGAAAATTGAAGCACTCAGCATAACAGTATCTGATTTGCTAAACTCTGACTGCTATTATACCCACTCTGTAGGGAATACATTAAATAACAATAACACATCAATACCTTTAGAGCCTGTTGTTGTGTGTTGACAGTGTTCTGTAGCTCTACAGATACTTTAACTTTCTGAAACTTGCTCTTTTAAATTGAAATGTCATGCAACAAATGTGATATACTTAGAATACCCACCAGCTTTTTATTTTTACCCTCATCCTCACTGGACTTCTTTTTGGAGGGCTTGTTGGGATCCTCCCCACCGCTGGCTTGGTCCATTTTAGTTCTTGAAGTCAGTTCCCTTCCAGAAGCAAACTTCAAACTTGATTAACTCCAAATAAGGGGGTAAAAAAAAATCCCAACAGCAAAAATACAAAACGTATATCCGAGTTATGTGTTCTCAAAATCCATCCCGTTTAAAAATGCCAAAAGTAAAAAGTTCTCCGCTTCCACATCGTGTCCAAAACCATCCGGTAGAGAAGTCTGCTTGTACAAGAGGTGTGGTTGTGTGTGGTCTCCTCTGATCGGCAGTTAAGTCACCTCAAACAGCAGGGTGTATTGGCACTCTGAAAGTAGCACAACATTGTGCAAACAACAGATAATTACTCTCTCAGACTGTGCTGGACGTTAGGTTTCTGTTCACACGTGTTTCTTCCTTGTCAGCATGCAGAGAGCCACCAGCAACGGGCCAAAACATATGTAAACAAACCTGTCGGAGTTAGCTATATTAAGCTGAACAACAGAAAAATAAAAAGCAGCTTGTTTATATACTGACCAACAAAGGAAATGTCTATTTATAATATAAACTTACAATGAAATAACTTGTTTATATAGAGGTGATGATTCACACACAGCTGCTTACATACGTTTCAACATTTTTAGATGCGATACAGCCATTGATCGGAATCAATAAACGGTTGTCATAGTTGGGGGGGGAAAAATCACCGTTGTTCTCTATGCTTGAGATACTTTGCAGCGCTTCACCGATCAAGCTCTGAGCGACTGTTACCCGGCAAACACACTTTATCTTAACTAAAACAACATCGCACAGCCGTATTTTACGATAGTCTGCGCAAACACACAAAGGGGAATAAAATTATTGTGAGAGAAAAGTCAGAAATTTCAAACGGCAGCTTACCTCAGCAACCAAACCTGAAAACCAGGCCCACAACGCGCCCGCCTCTTATGACACGTGATTGGGTAATGAGCTGTGCCATAAATGGCAAACTGAATTCTCATTGGCCAGATGTGCTGACAGTTGTCAGGTCGGCGTGGTGTCGAATGGGCGGGGACTGTGATGGAAGAGAGGTCAGCGTGTGATTTCACACAGCAGGAGGATGGGAATCAGTAGTAAGAATAGATCAGGGACGAGAGAAAAGGCTTGTATGGCTGACTGTTCACCTGGGTTATAATAATACACATGTAAATCGCTTCTGTGGAAGCGACATCAATAGAACTATTACAAACTGTGTCCACCTTATTTAAAGAAGAAATTAGCTCTTTAACATACTTATAATAGTTTTGGTTACCTGGTGCCAAATTACCACCACTGTGTCAGCTCAACATTTACAGCTGAAAAAAAGTACCATTTTATTTAAATTCAGGTTTGACGATAATTCACTCCCTTCTAGATTTATTTTATTTTTATTTTTATTTTTTAAAGGTTCTTGTAACATACGGAAAAATAAACTAAGTGCCTAATAAGCATAATTGTTCGTGGCAACAACTGCGAGCATCCATGTTAATGTTAACAGCATCCATGTTAATAAATGGCAGTAAGTCTTCCAGGACCTTAACTAGAATACAAAAAACATTTATTTATTTATTCAACCTTGAGATGGTGGATTAATTATATTAATTATACGTAATCAACAATTTAAATAATTATCAACTAATTTAGTAATCAAATAAGAATTAACTGAATTATACAGACAGAAAAAAAGCAACAAAAAAAGTCATTTGTCGAACATTATATTCAGTGCAATGATTAAGGCAAAACTGAACAAAAACTATTTACATTTGCCATTTAAGATTTTTTTAAAAAGTATGTCTGTAAATATGTTCTATACATGGTACTTTAAAATGTGTAGTTTTAGCTTCACAAGGTTCACGTACTGTAGCAAGGAATTTTCTAAACACCTTCTTCCATTCAGTTATTAATTGCCTTTTCAAAAAAATAAACCAAATAAACAGATGAACCTTACACTGTATTGATGTTAAGTCAAGCAGAAAGAGCTGAGTATTTTTTTACCTGCAGGTGCATCCTTTTTTAAATTATTTTTTTATTTCCTTTATTTAACCAAGTAAACCCTGTTGAGATCTGGATCTCATTTTCAAGAGGGACCTGGGCAGAAGTCTGCAATACACAGCAACCTGGTATAGTTACAAGTGATAAGGTGGGAATAATATGATCTATAATAATATATATATTTCATGCAGTAATATGTGTACTTTCACAATTTAAAAAGGAATTGAAATAGTTTACCATTCAGATTTTCTTTTGTATTTCTAACATAAAATAAAATAGCTAAATAAAAAATCTGCTGGAAGTGTGCCTTTTTTTGTTGTTTTATTGTCAGAATAAAACATAAAATAATCAATAACTAAAATAATCATTAACTGCAGCACCTGTATGATCTTTTGATTTTTTTACATTTTTTTTGCACCAGTTTAACCAATCTTTTTGTTATTGTCGAATTGTGAACCCTGACCCTAACTAAGTCAAGAAAGATTTGCAGTGCTTTATAAACTGTACAGGGCTCTTTTGTTACCTCTTGAATCTTGAGACTCCTAAGAAAATTCATCTTTGTTCCACATTTTATCCATTTGTGAGAAGAACTCTCACTGTGAACTGTGCAGGAGTCCTAAGCCTATAGAAATGTCTTGGTAAGCCTAAAATAGGCACAAAATTAATTTACTTCAAAATCAAAGTCTAGATTTTTATAATCTTGTAATATAATTAACAGAAATACAGAAATCAAAACAAGAGGAAACTCTCAATAAAAACAAAAAAATCTCAATCAACAAAACAAAAGTTTAAGATTATGCATATAAATCTTTAATTTAATAAGTTAGAATGAGATTTAATTTCCCTTTGGGATCAATAAAATATTTTTTGATTTGAATTATAGCATAAATTATATTTTGTAAGATTATTACAACATTCCCACAAGCATTTGAAGCAAAAATTATTTTATTGCTAACTGACTAGGGATAAATCCTATAAAATACATGCATAGTAGTATTTTTAAATATTTCACTTGAATTAGGATCAAGAATTTGGCTCATATGAAAACAGTGATTAGGTTCAACAAGAATGAAATTAAAAAAGTTTTTATCAAACATAACTAAAAAGAAATATAAAACTGACATTGATCATAATTTCTACTGAGAAATATTTAGTAGTAATACTGAAACATAAAAGCTTAACTTACAAAAAAAAAAGAGAGAACAAAACCTAGTGAATCACCTGTTTGTTTAGGGAGAACGGGAATCTTCTTCCCACACTCATGCTGTATAGAACACAATGCCCTCATTGAGAGTTATCGTGTGAACCTGGGTGTTGTGTTCCTGTCAATGCTGAAAGGAATATATAAATACCCACACCTGCAACATAATTTAATATCAGACTGAATTACAAACTTTCCAAAGTTATATGGTATTAATTGTGCAACATATTTGATCAATCACCTGAACCTATAACCAAAAGCTCATTCATGATAATGTCTTTCTTGTGTAGTGGAAAACAGATATTTGCTTGTATTGTCTAAAAAGACATTTATGTCCTCCCTTTCTGACATTAAATCAGACTAAATTTTCCATGATCCTGGGGTGTTTGTGTTTCTTCTGGGAGAGTATGTCAACCTTTTCCAGAGGTGGGCAAGCAGTGGCAGTGGCATCATTTATCTCATTAGGATTTAAGAAGCTGCATGACAATGTCTCTTCACCTGATAGTTAACCTTGTTGAGTAGATCTAATTTGTTACTCCAGTGTAGACTCTAATGAAATTATCTCGTGTCAACGTGTCTGCACTCAACTTTTTTGTTCCAAACTTGCTTCCAGCATCAAGACCTCTTCCAGGGCCTACTTTCTCCATGATTGTTCTCTGAACCTTCAGTGTCCTGATTTACACCTGCCTGCCGACTCTCAGCCGCCCACTCCATCTTCTAAGCCATAAGCTACCAACTTTCTGCCTCCTCCCACATAATTCAAACCTTGTTGAGATTCTCATGCTCTTCTCTTCAACACGCCACTTTTTGGTGAACCAGAAGGAACCTCCTCAGTCACACATTTCACATATCGTATGAAATAAACCATACTTACCTCTTTGTCCTTTTCCCATAGACTAAATGTGCATGTGGGTCAGAAAACAACTTTTCTGACCCACATGTCAGAAAAAAAGCTTTGTCAAGCATTTGACAAAGCTTTTTCTCTTTTGGGCCCACTGGGATTGCTAAAATATATATTATTCTATCTGCGAAAAATAACAAGATCAATTTTAATTGCTTCCAGTTCAGGAGTTACATATATTTCCTTGCTTTTTAGCAAAATTACCCTTTAAACTTTATGACTTGATTCAAATGTTTTGGATATCATTCCATTAGCTTTGGCAACAGTCAGGGTATTTGGCCTCTTAGCTTTGACACATATTTTCAGCTCTGAACAGAAACTTTTTATTAGACTGAGATAGGGCCTTTTTTATGATGGCCACATCAGAATATTGACATTGTTATTCTTAAACTGCTGTGTAACTAATTTGACTGTCTATTTGCAGACAGTGTGAATTTGGAAGTACTACTTTTGCCAAAGATTCAAGTTCCTGGCTGATGTCTTATGTTAGAAGTTTCAGATAATCTTCTTTCCTCATCATGCTGCCAATTTTGGGAAGGCAAATCGAAATGTAAAAGTGTTCATGCTTATTAAGAACCCAGATAAATTACAAAGTTCAATCAGAATTTTATTGTTGTTCCTTAAATAATGGCTTAAGAGAATACAAATAAAATAATAATAAAAAAAAGACTTTTCAATATGGGCAAATTTGCAACATCAGTCATTTTGACCACTCAAAGCGCTTTACAGTCACATTCACCCATTCGCACACACATTTATACATCGATACGCAGACCCGTGTATAAATGTGAATTTGGGGTGAAGTCCCTTGCCCAGAGGCACATCAACATGTGACAGGAAGACGCTGGATTTAAACCTACAACCTTCCAATCACAAGACAACTACTCTTGCCATACAATCACAGTCGCCGACTGTTTAACTCTGAATTAGTTAAACACTGTATCCTACACTTAATGACTAAGAGTACTGGCTATGGTCACACATTTCTTCACATATCCCACTTCTGAAGAAATAAGAATACTTAAAATTACACTTTCAAAACAAACACAGTGTTGATCCAAACCCAACATGACCGCAACATCAGTGGTGCAATTTCTGGTCAATAGACGACACTTTTCACACTTGTTCAGATGAGATTTTGTGGGATTTGTACACCATGTGCAGTCAGCCAACTTTAAATTAGCCACTTTATCTCTTCTTGGCCCACTGCCCTATTGTGGATAAGGATACAGGAGCCAAACATGTGGTGTGAGAGAAAGCCTCAAAGATCAGGGCTCCTCTTAAACATGAAAAACAGTGTCTCTAGTGTGATTTCCATAGCAAACGGATGTGTTGGCCTGAAACTGGTGGGGAGAGTCCTTGGCAAACCAACCAGCATTACAATGTGAAACTAGCTTGGTTCTCTTATGTAACCAAAGACAGAAAGTGTACACTCATTTAAAGAGCGAGTGAGAACAAAAATCCCTTCTGCAACAACTCTGGTTCTGTGACAAGCTCTTTGGTATTCCTTTAAAGAAACAGTCCCTTGTGTTGTCTTCAAGCACTCGTGATCTATGTTTTTTCCTCTAACCACAAAAAAATCTGGAGACTAATTAACATGGTATTAATTATTGTATGGTACATTCATATTTACTTAAACCAGTAAAAAGGTAGTTATTTGGTAAATTACTTGAAAAGACATGTAAAGCATATATAGAACACATTCTATATATGCTTCTATCTTCTAACCAACTCAAACAAGCTTCCTTGTTTATCCATGTCTTTTTGCCATTTTTTGATGGTCTGGCAAATTCATGCAAGTTTTGTATGATCTCTACACTTGGATGTAATTTTAAATATTTTCTCCAGTAGTGAAACAAGGAGTATTTTGT